GACGCGTACAGGCTGCTGGCGGGGGGCGCGGACGAGGCCACGGGTGTGGGCTCCGCCTTGGGGTATGCTGTGTACCCCGTCTTGTGTCTCTGTGGGAGAACCAGGAAGAGTGTGTCCCGCAGGGAGCACGGGCATAGCAGGCCCAGCCTCCACACTCAGCCCTCCCCAAACATCGAGGGTGCTCCCCTAGCTCCCCACCTCGGTGCAGCCTCGGGTTCCTCCTCCCCACTCACCATCCTCTCCTTCTCCTCGGCCTCCGACTGGGACAGCGCCAGGGCCAGCTGCAGCTCCTCCTCCTCCTGCAGGGCCGTCTCGTCCCGCTTGGGGGGCAGCTGGGGGCAGACAGGCTGGTGAGCGGGGCCCGGGGAGAAGGGCGGGGCGGGCCGCGCGGGGCGTACCTGGGACTGCTGCGACAGGGGGCTGGTCAGGTACTCCGGGGGCAGCTCCGTCGTGGGGGGGGCCTTGCCGTCCGCTTTCCTGGACAACAGGGTGCTGTGGGGGACCGGGCACTGCACCCGGCCCCCACGGATTCCCCAGTGTCACCGTGGTCACACCCGCACCCCAGAGAAAAACTGAACCTCAGACTAGCGGGTGCTTCCAGGCGGGGGACCCTGGTGAGTCACCGGCCTGACCACAGCCCGTCTCTAGGAAGTGAGGCTCGGACACCGCCTGGGACAGACAGACGGACAGCACGGGCCTCTGCACCTACACACCGGGGACACGGCCTCCCTCCTGGTCCCACCAGGAGCACAGGCCCTGACCCGAACCACGAGGGACCTCAAGCCCAAACTGAGGGCCACGCAGCAAGGGCCTGGACACATCCGGAAAGAGGGGGGGGGGGGGGGGGGGGGGGGGCTGAAACGAACAGGCCCTGACATCACTGGGACTCGTGGGACCAGAACAAGGCGCAGAGGACACGGCAGCGCCATGCGTGGGCTCCGGAACAGAGGCTTCCTCTTCTGGGCACGCACGGAGGTCCAGGACCACACGCGTGTGTGAACACACATGCAGAGGGAGCCACCGTCAATGTCAACACCAAGGGACCAGGCAGAGGGCGGCCCTCACCTTGTCACGCCCTTGTCTTTCCTGGAAGTTTGACTTCCAGACTAAAAAGTTAAGAGGCAACAAGCTCCAACAAGCCCCAGGCTCTGGGTGCCCGCCTGGCTCCGCCCTGAGTCTGGGGCAGCTGAGGCTGGACAGGGGGCAGGGCCGGCCTCTGCCAGGCCTCCCTTGGGGGGACAGAGCCGGGCTGCGGGGAGTGGGGAGCAGGCGGGCGCCGGGGACTCACTTGTTGAGCTGTTCGTAGCAGGGCTCGCACACGCGCACCTCCTTCTCGATGCCGAACTTGGGGATGGTGGAGTACCGGGAGGAGCACTTGCCGCAGAAGATCTGGCCGCAGGCCCGGCAGTGGTGCTGCGACACAGGGCGGGTGGCGGCTG